TATATATATATAATTTTAAAATGATATTCATTTCTAAATAAATTTATGATTTTCGGGGGTATGTTCATGTGTCGTGCAACCAAACATCACTTGGAACCACAGCCGAAAAAAATTTGAAACGAGAATCCAGCCCAATGGGCTTAACGTGCCAAATGGGCTTCACTTGATCTCGCTAAAAGATCATCCATATGCAAGATATCTCTAACCACTTCCAAAAACCTGAAAATTAATAAATCTTAGATATATATTATGACATCATCAATCAGAATAATTTATATTTTTTCTCGGGTTTAACTTTTTTTATTATTATGCTTATTTATGCAAAATATTTTAGTAGTAGAAATTTTTTGTATAAGTTTTAATATATATTTGGTTTCCAAAAGATGATGAAAAATATAAACAGCTTGTTAGGCTTCAATTAAAAAAAAAAGGATGTATCAATAGCTTTGCATCATTTGACTAATTATTTAAATGTGTGTTGACCCAAAAGATATTTAAAATGATAGTTTTGGACGGTTTGTATTCAAACATGCAAACCATAAATGGTCTGTTACACCAGAAAAGTGTTAAATGAGGGAAATTTCTTCCTATATTAAATTAATATCAAGTATAAATCTAAAAATATAATGGAGGAAATTAATTTATTTTAAAAATCATAATTTTTCATATAATTTAATTTGAATATAATTATATATATATAGTAGAAGAAGAAAAAAGGGACTACATATCCACTTCTGGATTTTTGTTTGAACATATAGTTGTTAAAGTTTTCAATCCTCACAAATACAATTGTACAAACTAAATCAAAATATTATAAAGACTCAAAATAATTTTTACAAGTGCCGTTCCTATTGTCATTAGAGATTTTTCCATGTTTATTTCTTTGCATTGAATTCTTACTTTAACGCCAAAGCTTATGTGTTTTACACTAAATAAATTGATTATTGTAATTACCAGAAAAAAATGTGGCTGATTAATTAATTATAATTAGAAATCCATGAAAGCCCCGCCAATCACGCAGCCTGTCTCAGACCACTTTTCCTCGTCTCAAAGCTAATAAGAAGTCCCCACAACTTCTCATCGGCAAACCCCACAGAGAAAACCCAGAAAACCTCAAAACCAAAATCACTCGGACAATAAGAAGAGGAACCCAAAATCCCCAGGAAAAAATGGGCCGTCGGGAGGAAGAAGAGGAAGGGGGTGAAGAGTACTTGTTCAAGATTGTCCTAATCGGCGACTCGGCTGTCGGAAAATCGAACCTTTTGACGAGATTTTCTCGGGATGAGTTTGACACGAACTCAAAGGCGACAATCGGTGTTGAGTTTCAGACCCAGTTGGTCGAAATCGAAGGAAAAGAGGTGAAAGCGCAGATCTGGGACACTGCAGGTCAAGAGAGGTTTAGGGCTGTGACTTCTGCGTATTACAGAGGTGCTTTTGGGGCTCTTATTGTTTACGACATTACCAGAAGATCCACTTTCGAGAGTGTTAAACGATGGCTTGAGGAGCTCAACAGTAAGTCCCTTTCCTCTTCTTCCTGTTTGGTTTCCTGGAAACTCTGAGAAAATTGATGTGGGTTCTGTTTGTCGATGACTGGATTAAAAGTCATTTGCTTTCTTCGTGAATGGGTCACATTTCCGTGTCTCTTAATCGATTAGAATTACGAAAGTTCTTACCTTTTTTTGTTTTCAATTCTTTTTGGTTGATAAAATGTTTGATGTATAAATCCATGTTCTTTCTTTCTGTTTTGGTTTTTACCCTTTGAATATAAGCCGCTCATCTCTAAAGGGTTCGATTCCCTGAGCCAAGAAAATGGAAGAAAGAGAACATTGTATTGTCCTGTTGGTGGTGTTTGGTTGCCGAGAAACTGTGAGAAATTGATTCCCAAACCCAGAAATGATAAGAGGAAAGAATGCTCCATCCTCCTCTTTCTATCATGTTTCCTGTTACTTTCCTTTTGGGTATCCAAGAAAAATGTGTGGTTCCTTGTCTGAAAACCTTAGCATCTTCTTCATTGACAATAACATTGTGAATATATTGTATAAAGCTCACTGTGATACGGCGGTGGCGCAAATGCTGGTGGGGAACAAATGCGACTTGGAGAACATAAGAGCTGTAAGCGTTGAAGAAGGGAAATCTCTCGCAGAAGAAGAAGGTTTGTTCTTCATGGAGACATCGGCCCTCGACTCCACAAATGTAGACAAAGCCTTCGAGATCGTTATAAAGGAGATCTTCAACAATGTCAGCCGGAAAATCCTCAACTCTGACGCTTACAAGGCCGAGTTATCAGTGAACCGAGTCAGTCTTGTCAACAATGGGGACAGCACAAAACGTTCTTGTTGTTCCTGGTGACTGATGTTCCTTGTTCACACCGCCCCTTACCATGTTGTTCTTGAGTTTTCTTTTTTTCGGTTTTGTTCCGAACTCTGTACCAATATATGAGCAGAGACAAGATTCCATAGTTTAAATTCATCATAAAGGCTGGATCTTTTTTTTTCTTTGTTACCATTAGATTGCAATGACAATTACAATAGATTGCCACTCAATTAAGCAATAGGAAATGTGTGACAATGAATCTCCAGAGAGATTTATGGCAATATATCTCTGAAAAAAGCTCAAGAATTTCAATCTCTCACCTTGTTTCGTGTGAATACTACACAATCCTAAGCCAAATGACTTAAAAAAATCTATAGCTCTAATTGCCATCATGTTTTGTTTTCCATGTAAATCATGTACGTATAACAGAATGGAGAATTGGGTAATATTTATATCAAGGCTTCCTTAAAGCAGAGCCCGCGCCCATTACCACGGCCAAGACAAATCCGAGACCCGCACCGAGTGAAGCACCAACTGCCGCAGCTGACATGGCTGACTTCGCCCGTGGATCTTTCTTCTTGTCCAGCGCCATTGCACGGTCCCTCGCAAGTTCCACTGACAATCTGTCTGTGGCAAGTTCCTGAAAAAAAAAAGTCTCGAAGTTTATAAGATTCTACAAGAAACCTCTTCGGAATTGTTAAGTTTGAGCGTTTCTACCCGAGACCTGCGGGTTTCTGGGTATCCGATCTCTTGGGTACTCGGGTCACGAATGAGATAAAAAAACGGATACAACAAGGCCAACAACCCGGACTGCGAGGACGGGTTATTTAACCCATGTATACCGGGTAAAAGTAAAATTGCGTTTATATCCCTACTATTTCATATTACCTAGGCCTATTTCAATGTAAAACTACCAATACACCCTTAAAATTACGTAAATTTTCATCAGGTTCAGGTTCTCCGAGTATCCAAGTTCATCTGCGGATACTGAGTCCCGTGAGACAGGTAAGGAGACAATTAGCTTTCATTTATATTACCTAGGCCTATTTTCATGTAAAATTATCAGCCTATTTTCATGTAAAATTATCACTACATCCCTAAAGTCAACGTAAATCAAAAGGAGTTTCAGAAATTTTGGCCGGGGGTTCGGTACTCCCGAATACCCGGCTTCAACTGTGGGTACCCCAGTCTCCCTAGACAGAGAATGAGACAATGACCTCAGACAATGAGACAATGAGGCCGAAACAGGGTACCCCAAAAGTTCGGATGCCCGCCTGCGCCCACCCCTATTAAGATGCTGCTTACCTGAAAGCAGGCCTCTTCTTGGGTCCGAAGCATGTGGTGAACAAGCTGGCAAAGCGAGTTCACACCATCCACAGGGAAAACAGTATCCTTTCTCTGGAAAGGCTTTCTGACAAGATTAAGCGGAGCGAATATCAGTTTCTGGCTTCCTACTCCTCCATTGTTGTCTACATTAACGGCTGCCCACGGCAAAGAAGAGTTTCCCGAACTACAAATAATGTACGGAATAGAATTCACAACTCCGGTCATGCTCGGGGATGCTTGGTATGCCTGAAGAACAGCATTGATAGCATCCTTTTGCTGATGTGCACTGACAGAGAACTTGTTCGTTATAGCAAGAACCCAAGGGATGCCGAGTGATTTAGCTTCGTTTAATAGAAGCTCAAGTGCCGGTTGTTGTTGTGTTGTGTTGAGGTAACGGGGTATTCTATGGGACAAGTTGTGCACAAGAATGACTAAATCTATCTTCTTACTTAGATTACGAACTCCCTTCCATAGTTCTTCTCTAAAACGTGAAGACTCTAAGTGCAGTTCCTGCATCAGATACCAAAACACGTTGATAACTAGGAGGGCAAGGGTTAAGAATTTAAGCCGAGCTGAATCAGTATGCGAAGAAAAGGAACCTGCAGATTCACTCCCAGAGTGTCAATGTAGCAAACACCGCCTACAATGCCTTCTTGAATATCTGACTGTACCTGTAGATTCTCCACATGGGTCATCGAGTTCAACATGCTTTGACCTAGCATTGCCCGGAAAAGAGATGTTTTACCAGCACCCTACGGAAACCAGGAGATCAATTTTATCATAACATGCAAGGAAAGTATGAGAGTTAACTGCTTGTGAGCGAGAAATGGGGGAGTACCTCAAGCCCGAGTAATCGTACCCTACGTGCTCTGACCTGAACCTCCTTGGATACGGTCGCGAAATCGCTGGTACAGAATATGTAAAAGTCCTCCAAGCCTTCAGGACAAATAAACTTATCCTCTTTGAAAAATCCTAACCCGATTTCTTTCATGGGAGAACTGGCACTTGAATCGACCGAAGAGAACATATCTACCAAAGAGTCTTCAACCATCTGATGGCTTGGAGGTCGCTTCAAAGGAGTACCAATCGTCACCCTTATCTTCTGTAGTTCAGTCTGTTCCACGTTATCAGTAGAATATGTCGGTGCTGAAGGGAAGGATTCCACCGTAGTTGAGCACCTAAAAGAGAGTTTATCATTCAGGTTGCTGACAAGTAACAACAGCATGACACAAATTGCTGATCAATCAGGAAAAGGTAGGACTAAAAATACCAGTTGCCGTTCACTTGGGCATGAACGAAAGTACACAAATGCAACCCAAATCCAGTTATATCAACCTTTAGAGGTTCTGAGTTCTTATCACCCGGAACACCTGTCCAGCCAAGAGGGGCGATGGAAGTTGCTGTCCTGATTACCGGGGACTCCACAATATGCCCAAGTTCTACGCTACAGCCAACAGCAAGTCCAAGCCACTGTTGTAGATGCGGAAATTGCTGTTGCTGATCCACCCCAAAGAAAGCATTGTTATCCATGCAGAGGTCATATATTCTGCACGCAAGAGTCAGAGGAAAATACATCAGTGAAATTATAGCTGTCATTTAATCTACATAAAATAACATGAATACCATAGATAACAGCCACCCCAGTCAAAAAACAATGACCAAAATCAAGTGGTATCCTCAACATCTGAAAACATGCTCCAATGAGAAAGTCGTAATTAGAGGGTTAAACCAAGAGGAAAATAGCATTATCACCTCTGAAAGCGAGACCTATAAGACATCATAGAATGTGACTGAAGGCGTTCCCTCAGTTCGGCAATCACAGATCTGACCTGAAAATGTCTTTGCAAAAAAATGCAACCAAAATGAAAACCCCAAAATTACCACCACTTGAATTTTGTAATACCTAAATAATCATAGAAACGTATAACCAAAGTGACAGCATATGGAATCACAAGCAGAAGCAGTTAAAGTTCAAAATGCCCAAGTTATAGTACTCCAAAACTAGTGGCGACTAAGCTCATAAAACACATTGTTTAGATTTAGAAAAATCTGGCAACAGACATCACTACAAAGAGAAATTTATAAGCAAAGGAAACTCGTACCGATGTCAACTTTGAGTATTCGGCTTCTGAAAGTGATTCCACAGATGCAGTTCCCAAGAGATACAGCTGTGATGAGCAAAACAAACCGTGAATTGCTGACCAGAACTTATATTCTCAGTAACAGTGAATCAAGCTTATCTGGAACCCACAAACACAAATTTTCGATCAGAGAATCAGGATTCTATTCGGAAACATTGACATCAAAGCTGGTGATACTTGAATTGAGAGGTAGCCAGAAATAGTGTCCTCCCTCCAGCATAGTACAGAAGAATACAAGCAGACTTAGTAATGCAATATTTCTGATGCACACCATATTTCTGTCAGTGATTTATAACATCTACCTGTCCAAAAGGAACGTACGACGGCAAATAAGGAACCCTTCGCCATCTTTTCCCATCCCCAATGGAAGCATTGTTTTTTCCCTCAGAGCTTCCATTAACTGTTTGTCCACTACCAGTATCTGGCAATGGTTTGAGAGATATACCATCGCTGCCCTCCTCTATTTCAAGAGATTGAGGTTCAGCAACTGCATCATCCATTGGAACTGGCACCGCTGATTCATTCATAGTGGAAGTCTCTGCAGGATCAACTTTCTTTCCCCTATACCTATCAAGCTGTTTTCTGACAGCGTCAAGAGGAACAAGCCTTGAAAGTCTCCAGGAAGACCTCTGAATAGGGCCAACACCCATAACCAAATGTTCCTGTTCTTTCTCGTTTGTCTTTTCTGCATCTGACTTTACTACTTGATCTTTCTCGTTTGACATTGGTAACTCAGTGGCTCCAGCCATTGACAGTCTTTGCTCATTATAATGATGAAAATATGCAGGTGATAATATTCGGGGTACCAAATCTTCAGGTATACAGTAGCTCTTGAAGTAATGTTGCCACCCTTTTTCATGAACATAACTGACAAAATGAGCAGAAAGATGGAAAAAAAAAACATCACAAAAATGCTTTTGCTAAGCTAAACCACGCATTTCAATAAATCTCCTAGGACTTACTCTCTCAGAGCAGCATTTCCAACAGGGGGCTGGGAAAATGTTATACATTTGACATGAATATTTTCACTTTCTTTCTTCGTAGATGCAGCAACAACTCTTAATATGGCAAGTGTAGCTAATGCAGCTACCTGCAGAATATGAATAGAGTCAAAAACCCCATAAATTTTCAAAAGAAACTATAGGCTAACAAGAAATGAAGAAGTAAAAACTTCTTAAGCAATCAGACTTACAGCTCCACCAAGTGAGTGTCCACACAACACAAGTTTCCGCTTCTTCTTCTGAGCAAGTCTGTATAACTCCAGAGCAGGTATCCCTTTAGCACGAGCTAAGAACCCCTATAATCAAAATTTGAAGGACTAAGGCACAAAAGTGAGCATGTATTTAAAAACTCGTGTAAACATCACCGAGGGTACTAAAGATACCACAAAACCAGCTAAGAACAGGAGCATCGGCAGCCTACATCAACAGTGCTGCTACACATACATCAGTCATAGCGTACCCGATGAGCAGCAGGCTTAGGTTTTTGTTTTAGTTGCTTAGGCTTTGATTCGAGAGGTTTCCGCTGACTCTCTCCATTATTCTTTTGATTTTCACCTTGAATAGGCTCAGGTGCTGCAATGTGTTCATCCTCTCCGACATCGTCATGAAATATATGACCTTGTAGTATGTTTGCGTCAGCCATGATGTCCCTAGTGACGTCCATGAGTAAAAAAAATCAAAACTTTACGCCAAACAAAATTATTTAACCAAGAAAAAAAGTTTTCCCAAGCTTACTTATATTGCTTAGTCCCAACAAAGGATGCAAATAACGTATCACCTGCTTCTGCCAGTAGATACCTGCAAGATACATTGTTTGCATTCAAAGGGAAGTAATGGACCGAACCGAGGTTAGAGGATTAGGGACAAATGCCATGGTGTTGCAAACATTTCTAATAGAGGGAAAACTGGATCGGTTTGTCTAAAATGGAAAAACAAAAGACGGGTACGATCCGTGTAAAACAACCTGTGAGGAACATGGTCTGATGAAGGTTGCACTCTCTCCAGCGAAATAATTTGTCCTCCAAAGTCGGCTTTGAATTTGTTCACAGCCCGAACCATCTCACTGGCAGGCCTCTATCACAATACAAGTAAACCAGAATCTTATACCAAAGCAAGCTACAAGAAAATATCTCTTGATGAAATTTCAACTAGCGTAAAAGAAATTCCAGTACTCATCCGTGAAATGAACCAACAATTCTTCTAAATTATTGGTACATACCCAATAATTAATAACCGATAATCTCTTTAATTTAGAAAATTACGTCCCCAAATTCCTAAAAAACAGAAATTACGAAAAGAAAAACAACTGGGTTCCCTCTGGATCGCACTAACTATATCGTATTCGGAGATCACGCTTTGGAACTTTACCGAGCATCGGACAAAGAGTCAGTGTCAACTCAAAGAGCAAGTGAGATTCACCTTATAAACGCATTCCGAAAGGACCATGCAGCAGAGGATGTCCTGCAAATCCGCCACGGACTCGGCCTTGACGGCGCGGCAAAGCTCCTGAAGCTGCTTCTTCCGCTTCTCGTACTCTCGCCGGATCATGTTCCTCTGATCCGCATCGCTTCCGTTCCAAGGCGGCCAGCGGAACCTCCACTGAAGCGGGCCCCACGAAACGCGCAGGAACCTCGCCCTCTGGTCCCTGATCCACGCCTCCACTCGGCTATGTATCGACTCCATCGAAATTACTTACACTACCTCCCCTCGAACGCAGCGCCAGAGAAAACGGGTTAGGGTTTCAGTCAAAAACCGGAAAAAAATTTCCGGGAAAAAAATTGCAGGTTGAAGATTGAGAAGGCTAGAAAAGGGAAGAGGCGCCACACGAGAGATTTTTTTTTTTTTTTTTTTTTTGTAGCGAAGATAGAGAATCAAAAGGCATATGCCTAATGATTAATAAATGGGTTTTATTTTTTATAGGCCTTGAAATCTTCAATTGGGCCAACATATGGGCCCCATACTGGAGGGCTTTTAGATCTAGGCACATACATAGAACAAGGGATGACGACGTCATATGGTGACGTGGCACAACAGAGGGCTACATATGTCCGTATATGTATATTTATATATGTATGTATTTAGGTATATTCACACATATGCATCCCCATAAACATATATATATAGATACATATTCATATATATATATATATATATAAATTTATTTTTTTTTATGGTGTTGACGTGACAAATTGAGTGATACGATGCCGATTTAAAGATACGGTCAAATTAATGACGTGTTATTTCAGATTTCTTCTGAGGTGAGTTCATATAATTAATTATAGGAGTTAACGTAGAAAAATAAAACATTTCATAGATTTTTGGAAAAATAAAAAAAAATACTGAAACTTTTAAATTTTGAAACTTTCAAATTTTAATAAAAAAAACTGAACTTTTTATTTTATCAAATAAATATTAAATTTTTTAAGTTTGACAAAATAAACATTTATGATTATCAAAATAAACAAAATAAATGAAGTGGCACAAGATGCAAACACGTCAGATTATTTTACTTAATTTTTTTATAATAAAAAAAATCATATATTTTTTTTAGATCATTAACAAAATTCAGTGTTTTTTTATAATAATAAAAAAGTTCATCTATTTTTTAGATCATTTAAAAAGTTCAGTATTTTTTTAGATTTATTTAAAAAGTTTAATATTTATGTGATAAAAAATAAAGTTTAGAGTTTTTATCAAAATTATAAAATTCAGTATTTTTTTAAGATTTTCTGTGGATTTTTTTATAGAATCTAAAATTTGTGAAAAATGATTTTTTTTTTCTTTTGGATTTTTCCAAAATTAAATGGAACAATGAGTATAGTTGTCTAAGAGCGCTTCATTTGGGCCAATGGCTCATCCAAACCTATTTTACTAGTGGGCCTTTATTGGGCCTCCGTTACGCCTCGCAAACAAAACGTTGATTTGAACTCAACAAGCATATATATAAAGTCGCTTTGAACCCTAATTTCCATCTTCCTCAGTTCGCAAGGGTTTTCCCGTTTCCGTGTGTAGAGACAGATCTTGTTCCACCAGGTTGTCATCTCAATGCGAGCTCTACGATTTTATTGATGTTTTGTCTCGATTAGTGAGAATAACCCTCAAAATATATTCATGGACAATTTTTTTTTAAAGTTCCCGTCGGATAATGTATAGAGGATTCTCTGATGATTGTGCAAGAATCGCCATTTTTGTTTCTAGATCTGGATTTGGAGCTTATGTTATTGACACTACCGAGAATCATTCATTATCCTTGCTCGTACATTGTTCTCGTTTTAATTGTTGATGAGTTTATTCTCTGCAATTCTGCGGGGGCTAAAGTGTTGTTTAGGGTTGTTTCTGCAAAGATTCTCAGTTTCATTTTAAACGCTCCCAGAGTATTTTCTGCACTTTTTAGTCCTTTGTTACGTTTCCTGTTCAAGTTTGTATAGTTTCTCGTTTCGCATTCCTACATTGATATCATGATCCGTACTGTAGGATAAATGGCGGTCCCCTTGCTGACCAAGAAAGTTATAAAGAAGCGTGTCAAGAAGTTCAAGAGGCCCCAGAGTGACCGAAAGATTTCTGTCAAGGTTCGTTGTTATGTTGTAGTCATATCGAGCGAGCTTGCTGTAGAGAGGATTAACAAAACCCTGGATGAGAATCTAGTATTGCTGGTCTATTTTTTCAGTATATGGTTTTCTCTTCATTTTATTCTGGAATCATATTCTTGGGATACAGCTCAAATCACCTCGTTAGTCTTGTAGTTCTTTGAGAATGTTTATGCAAAACCCTCTTAACTGTGTCTGATTCCAACGGGGTGCACCTGGATTGACGTGTTATGTGATTGCAGGAGAACTGGAGAAGGCCAAAGGGTATCGATTCACGTGTTAGGAGAAAGTTCAAGGGATGCACTCTGATGCCCAACATTGGTTACGGCTCAGACAAGAAAACCCGTCACTATCTCCCCAATGGGTTCAAGAAGTTTGTTGTCCACAATGCCGGTGAGCTCGAGCTTCTGATGATGCACAACAGGTACAAAATGCTCTTCCTACAACATCGACGGCCATGTCTGTTCACGAATACATTTTCTCTCCTTGCTCTACTGCTTTGTTTTCTGACAGTTGAATCGCAGGACATACTGTGCCGAGATTGCCCACAACGTCTCCACGAAGAAGAGGAAGGAGATCGTGGAGCGAGCTGCACAGTTGGACGTTGTCGTCACTAACAGGTTGGCTAGGCTTCGCAGCCAAGAAGACGAGTGAAGGTGATCGATTCCTCGAGCTATTTGGGCTGATGCTTTTTGTTACCGTCCATGATTTTATTTAAAAAAAATGGGGGGGCTTGCCTTCAGATGTTTGTTTTGGTCAAGATTTTAATTTTGCAATTGCCTTTAAACTACCACCATCTTCACTTGAATGAAAAACCAAATCCTTTAGTTTAAGCATTAGAGTTAGTGTTTAGACATGTGCATTTGCCGTAATTAGTGTTATGGTAATTCTAGATTATATATCCGGAAAATTCGAAAATCGATTGTTTTTTAATGTTTCTGATATTCGGAAAATATCCGATTGTTTTTCTCAAAGCTAAATAAATATCCGGAAAAATACTGTAAATATGGTATTTTTCGTCCAACGGCGAAATATGTATTTTTTTTAAAAACCGACGGAATGACAAAAAACACGAGGCACAAGATTCGGGAGGTGCATAATCACATGGACGGTTGTGGATAAAACCAAAAAAAAAAAAAGAACATTACTCCATCACAAACCCCAACGCCATCCACTTCTCTTCTCAATCTCTTAAAAAAAAAAAAAAAAAAAAAAAAGCAAGACGAAGATCATATCACCAGCGCCCATCTTTGTTATTTGTGAGTACAGTTTTCTGCGAATGTTGCTCATGGCAACGAGGTGGTGATATATACGTACACATATTTGTATTGAATGGAAGCCAGGAGGAGGCTCGCGATTCTTCGTTCCCACCTCCGCCCGATCATTCCCGATACGGGTCGGAGTCCGAATCCGACCCGGTGCCCTCTTTTGAGGGTTTCGGGCTGTGGGTCTGGTTCGGCCGGTGACTGGAGGATGGAAGCGTCGAATCTCCAAAACGACTGCGTTTTCTGCAAGATAATCCGCGGGGAATCTCCGTGTCTCAAGGTGAAACACCGCTCTCTCTCTCTCTCTCTGCTCTTTTTAACTCTTATCGGTTTCTGACATGATTCATCTCTTTGTGTTTTCCGGTTTTTGCAGTTGTACGAGGATGATATGTGCCTATGTATTCTGGATACGAACCCACTAAGTCATGGGTAAGGTATTGTTTTGATGGGTTCTTTGTAATTTTTACTTGCATTAAGAACTTACTCAAGAACGAAATCTGACCAAACCCCAGTTTCTGGATTCGATCGCTGTGGCAGTGTTAGCGTTTTTAAATGTTCTCTTATGAAATGTAAATTATTTCTTCTGGGTAGGTAAGGTTAGCTTATGAAGTTATGGGGGAAAGCTCTGACCAGGTCTTATGGTCCTTCTTTATGCCAAGAACAGGATTAGTTTCTGTGGTTTTGTCTTGTTTTTTATCAGAACATTGTAAATGATGGAACGCATCTCGAATTCTACACGAGCAGACATGTTGAAATGTGCATATGGGCATCCATCTATCTATTTGTGGTTCATAATTGTCGATATCTCGGTTCTTTTTCATGCCTTCCATGCATTTTCAGGCACTCTCTTATCGTTCCCAAGTCTCATTTTCCGACCTTGGAGTCAACTCCTCCCTCAGTAAGTGAATCTTGCTGCATAAATTCATGGCTTATAGGCTACCTTCTTTCCTCCTCCGGCTTTCTTTTTCCCCGAGTCTAGAAATTATATGCATCGATAAGTAGATATTGTTAATGGGTTCTTTTAATCTTTCAACATCCGTTTTTTGTTCATAAGTAGCATCGAATTTGCATATGCATTGAGGTTTTGATTATAGGATTCCCAAGGAGACTGCAGGTAGTTTCCGCCATGTGTTCTAAGGTGCCCCTTATCAGCAACGCCATCATGAAAGCTACTGGAAGTGGTATGTATGTAATGTCGGATAAACGTAGTTTGTGATTTGGAGCGTCCAAATATGCACACCCTTATGCAGAGATTCTGATTCTGATTCAGATTCCGATTCATGTCTTGAAACATTTGCAGATTCGTTCAACTTACTGGTTAACAATGGCGCAGCAGCTGGGCAAGTCATATTTCATGTTAAGTCCCTCGGCTTCTCTCGATTTTCCGTTCCCTTTTTCATCATGGAAGTTTCCGAAAATCCCTCGCTGAAAATGTTCTTATCTCATTCAGACTCACATTCACATTATCCCGCGCAAGGATCGTGACTGCTTATGGGCTTCCGAGGTGTGTACATGTGTGTGTGTGAACTCATACCGACAGCCGAAACTTGAAAGTCTGAATCTTTTCGTTTTGTCTTTTGGTGTTTGGTCGTTCTTTCTGGTTTCAGAGTTTGAGGAGACATACACTGAAACTGGACAAGGAAGCTTGCCAACTCGCATTTCTTGTCCGAGAACAATTGTCAACCCCTGAACCACAAACGCAAACGCAATCGCAGCTGCAGACGCAGTCGCAACCGCAACCCAACCTCCAATGAAATGGGAATTCTGTTATGTTTTAAATCTTGTTTTCAAAGCTATTGTTGTAACTTTTATAATGTAATTTCCCCATTATGTATGATTCATACCCATTTCTCATTTGATCTTTCCATAATCTTTTTTTTTTTTTTGGTCATATCAACATTCGTAATTACATTGAGTTCCCACGTATTTAACAAAAAGACATATAGTTGAATTAAGAAACGGATAAGAGTTTTGACCCGGAGCGAACCGGGTTTCCGCTAACCGGGTCGACCCGGCAAGATTCTATAAATTTTTATTCATTTTCTACTCTTCTTCCTCCCGGAATTTGGCGGCTCTTCTTTCGTAAGGCGCTCTTCCTTCTTTTGCGACGTCGCTTCATCATTTTTCCCATATTTGTGCACAGACAGAACTCGGTGGCGATTCGTGACTCAGTGGTCGAACTCGGTGAGATGGTCTCAGCCAGAGCCAAGGCGGCGAAAGCCGAGCGCCTTACGGAAGAGGGGAACATTTACTTCAGTGAAAAACTTTTCGGCCTCGCGATCGATGCCTATACAAGGGTAAACGATTCTTTCGTGTGTTTTTTTTTGTTTTTGCTCGTGTTCTTCGAAGAACTCCTGATGGGTTCATCGAATGATTCGTCTCTGCGAAAGAACCATTAGTAAATATCGGTTTTTCACATGGAAACACAGTTGGGTTTTGGATTGGTTTCTCCGTTTGTAACGTAAACGACCAAGAAATGCCGCTCTTGCTCTGTGAATTTTGATTTTGACGTGAAGTTTCCGGGATATAAAACAGGAATCTTTATATATATCTTTCTTGACAAGTTTTCGCGTTTCGAGGATTTGACGTTAGGGTGAATTTTTTCATGTGGGAATCTTGAAGGCGAAAGACTTGTGCCCTAATGTTTCTGCCTATTGGACGAATCGAGCTCGTTGCCACCAGATGCGAAAGTACGTGTATTTCCTCTGTACATTTCCTTTTCTTGTCTACCATGTTAACTTTGGTGACGACTGCCTTCATTTTCAGTGATTGGACCAAAGTTGAAAAGGACTGCCTGAATGCTATTAAGGTTGACAACAACTCTGTCAAGGTTGGATTCTGATCCATTTCAGGAAATTTTACTGAAGAATCGTGTTCTTTTCATTTGTCCCTGACATAACTGAACTAAGATTTGTCAGCTGCTGCTGTTCATTTCCCCCCTTCTATATGCGAGAATCGTTACTGATTATGCAATGCAGGGGCACTACATGCTGGGACTAGCATTACTACAGAAGGAAGACAAAGAGGGTGGACTCAAAGAACTGCAGATGGTAAAAGTGCATGTGTCAAAATTGCAAGAAGAGGAGGCATTAGAGTCCATTTCTCCTAAGAAAACATAGTTTTGAATCTTGATCTGTGTTTCTTGCGAACATTTGTTATACGTAGGCTCTGAATCTTGAAAGAGTTGGGAACCCAACTGGATCTTTGGTTAAAGAAATCTGGAAAGAGATTGCAAAGGAGAAATACAAGGAATGGGAGCAGCTCTTTGCCGAGCGTGAATTGGAACTGAGAAACCTGAAGTAAGGTTATTTCTCTAGTTACTACACATCGCTCTTTCTCAGTTGTGATTCCCGGTGGCTTTACGGAACCTTGTTCGTGTTGTTCTTTAGGGAAGCTTGTGAGGATGCTCTTAATCAAAAACATGATCTTGTTATGTCTGAAAATCCATCAGATGAAGCCATAGCTTCTTCCCATTCCAAACAGTTGGAAGCTCTGGAACGATTCTTTCAGAAAGCTGCAGAAGACGACAGAACAACCAAGGTTCGCCCATTGCTTGCGAGTTCTTGATCCGTGTTTTCACGTCTTGATTACCATCCGGGTAAGTTTTTTCAGGTGCCAGATTATCTGTGCTGCATGATCACTCTCGAGATTTTCCAAGATCCTGTCATTACTCCAAGCGGGGTTACATATGAAAGAGCTGCAATCCTCGAACATCTCGACAAGGTGATGATGATGTTTATGCCTTTTTTTTATAATGTAATTCAACATCTTGACAAAGGTAATTACTTTCAGTTGTTTTAATGGCGAGATAGTTAGGGAAGTTTGATCCATCGACAGGGAAGCCGCTTGAGCAGTCCCAACTGGTTCAGAATCTGGCTGTCAAGGAGGCCGCCATGGCTTATTTGGATAAGCACGGGTGGGCTTACAAGACAGGTTGACACTGACACAAACTCAATATCATCATCATGGGGTAAAGCAAGAAAATATAGATGAGATACATTCAGGAACTGTGTGTGTGTATATGTTAGATCTCTTCAGAGTTCAGACCAGAGACCCACCCATGACAGTTTTCTGGTAATACGCAAATGTGAAGTGAAAATAAAATCATATAATCATTTTCTGGCTCCTAAAAGTTTGGAATATCATAACCAACTGTACAACGAGCTATAAGCATCTTGTCTTTTGTGATTAGATGTTGGTTCTTTTTCGAATAATATCTGATTGAATCTTTTTCGGTCGTAGTTTGCTTATTTTATTTTAGAAAAATTATCCTTGTTGGTGGTGTTAGAGTTAAATTTGCTTTGAATACGATAAGATGTTATTAAGTCAATTTAATTTTGTATACCCAAATTAAAACATATCAAATAAATCAAGTTTAATTCAGCAATTCGGCCTGTTTATGACATTTTAATAATCTAACATCAAGTTTTTTTTTATTACAGAAATAATAATTTCAGAACATTACCAAAACCTTTCTTGTGCTACGGGATACAGCTTAATCGGTCATGTCTGAAAATAAATTTATATTTAATAATTTTGTCCAGAAGAAATTACAAAATTGTGAAGAAAAATGTTTATTAATTTATATAAAATGAAAAGGGAAGGTACGTAACGTAATTAAGTGGTATTAAAAACTAAAAAGAAGTAGAATATTGACGACAAAGCTGTCGTGCACCGCCTCATATGTGTTGGACATGCAACGTCGTTGGTTCGCCTTGCATCTACTTTTCTTTTTCCATCTCATAAAAAGTTGGACTTTCTCTATAATCCTTGTCACAATCATTATTATTATTATTATTATTATTATTATTATTATTATTAACAACATTGAAACATGGATTTTTTCCGGTTCAATGTTCAAAAATCGGTAGGCAAATGTTCCATCAAAATTTTCTAAGGAATACAAAATGCATTCAGACATGAAACCAAACGTAAACTCAAGTTGCTTAATGGCAATATATATATATATATATATGTATATATATTATTTATTTATTTCTTGCTCGTATTGTTAAATGCATTCCACTTAGCAGCTATTATATAGCTACTATCTATGAACGCATAACATTATTTACTCATACATTTTATATTGGCATTAATTTATCCACTTGGTAGGACGATACTAAAATACGACCATAGGGGAGGAATCTATGCTCTCCATTTCGACAATTGTATACAATTAATTACTACATGTATGTATGAACACACTATGAGATGTGTATATGCGGCCTTAACCTTCATGTCATTGTATTATCATATATATACAGATCAAGAAGAGGAGATGATACAGAGGCTGACCTAGCTTCTAAGGAAAGAAGAGAAATGGTAAGTATACAATTACATACATAATTATAGGAGAATATATATCTTTCCTTATATGCCCCCTCAAGATGGAGCAGGTTCGGTGACTCCAATCTTGACAGATAGATTGTTGAATGGCTGTCGAGGCAGGGGCTTTGTGAGAATGTCAGCTAACTGGTCCTTCGCACTGACGTGAGAAACACAGAGCTTGCCGGATTGAATCTGATCTCTAACAAACAGATAGTCCAACGCCAGGTGTTTCATTCTGGAGTGAAATACAGGGTTCGCACTGAGGTATGTGGCCCCAAGGTTGTCGCAGTAAATGGATGGTGGGTGTTGGAGCTTGACATTGAGTTCGGAAAGCAGATTCATCAGCCACCCAATTTCAGCTGAGGTGTTGGCGATGGATCGATATTCTGCTTCTGTTGAGGAGCGGGAGATTGTTCTCTGCTTCTTCGATGACCAAGAGATTGGATGTTTACCTAGGTACACGATGTAAGCTCCTGTCGATTTGAAGTCGGTCTTGTCACCTGCCCAGTCGGCGTCACTGAAGGCATGTAATTGAAGCGAATTTGAAGCCGGAAGAAAGATACCTCTGTTCTTGGTGCCCACAAGATAACGCAGGATGCGTTTCGCTGCTAGCCAGTGATCATCGAGGGGTTGATGCATGAATTGAGCAAGTTTATTAACGGCAAAAGAGACATCTGGTCTAGTAAGTGCCAGGTATTGCAAGCTGCCAATAACTTGTCTGAATTCTGTCGGATCGGAAATAGGAGTTCCTGATGTCAGGGACAGTCGCGAGTTGGATGACATTGGCGTGGAGACTTGTTTCGCGTCAGCCATTGAAGTTCGGTGTAGAAGATCAGTGATATATTTCCTTTGGTTGAGAAACAGCCCTCTTGATGTTCGCCGAGCCTCAACTCCAAGGAAATAATTCAAAGAGCCCAGATCTTTCAATGAGAATGTGGAGGCCAAATTGTGAATGAAATCTGTAATCTCGGTAATGGAGGATCCCGTGACAAGAATGTCGTCCACATAAATCAGAACCAGCAGCTGAGTGTTGTTCCCATTGTTGATAAAGAGAGAAGCATCTGCCAATGAATTTACAAAGCCAATTCGTAGGAGATGAGCACGTAGAGCTGAGTACCAGGCCCGAGGTGCCTGTTTCAACCCATATATTGCTTTCTTCAGTTTACAGACATGAGTGGGACATGTGTGATCGACAAACCCAGGAGGTTGCTGCATGAAGACATTTTCAGAGAGATTCCCCTGTAAAAAAGCGTTATTCACATCCAGTTGTCGGAGTGGCCAATTCCGGGTCACTGCTAGGCTGAGAACAAGTCGTATAGTTGCGGGTTTCACCACAGGGCTGAATGTTTCATGGTAATCAATACCTGGACGTTGAAGGAAACCTTTGGCCACCAACCTTGCTTTATAGCGATCCACGGTTCCATCGGGTTTGTGTTTGGTTCTGAAAATCCACTTGCAGCCAACAATGTTCGTTGCTTGGTCAGACGGAACTAGATCCCACGTCTGGTTTTTTACTAGAGCTGAATATTCCTCTGTCATTGCCAATCGCCAGTGTGGTTGCTTCAAGGCTTGAGTAACAGTTGTTGGAGTAGTTGATGACTGATCTGTGACAGTATGTGCAAACTTGGGGTTAGGCTTGACAATTTTAGACTTACCCCTGGTGACCATTGGATGGTTGTTCTGTGAAGGCACACGCTCCACTGGTGTTGTTGCTGTTTGTAGAACTGAGCTGCAGTCTTGGGTGGTGTCAGGATCAGTTCGAGCATGGGAAGATTCTGCATGATCAGGGTGATGCTCGGGATCATGCTGCTGAGTTGAACTAGCCTCCATGTTTGAGGAAGAAGGCTCCACAGTGGGTTGTGATGCTGACAGGGGATCTGTATGTGGAGGTCGAAAGGGAACAATGATTTGAGTTCTGTAATTTGGTTCAGGAGGTGCAGTTGGCTCAGGTCGAGGTTGAAGTGATTGAGTAGAAGCAAAAGGGAAAACTGACTCATGGAAAACTACATGTCTGGAGACATATAATCGAGGTTTGACAGGATCTAGGCACAAATATGCACTCTGTGTATTGGAGTATCTAAGGAAGACACAAGAAGATGATCGAGACTCGAGTTTGTTTGCGGAATAAGGTCTCAACCAGGGATAACAGAGACAACCAAATGTTTTCAGCTTATAGTAGTTTGGGGTCGAGTGGAAGAGTGTTTCAAAGGGTGAGGACATGTTTTGGGTAGGTGTTGGTAAGCGGTTGATCAAATACACCGCTGCAGTGAATGCATATGACCAATAAGAGGTCGGGATTGAGGCATGTTTGAGAAGAGATAAACCTGTCTCGACAACATGTCGGTGTTTTCTCTCTGACAGCCCATTGTGTTCTGGTGTGTGTGGGGGAGTTGTGTAATGGGAGATGCCATTTGCTGCTAGAAAGGATGATAGAGCTAGGTACTCACCACCGTTATCAGTGTAGAGATTGATGATTTTGGCTGTAAGTTTGGTTTCAATCAGGGCTTTGAACTTGATAAAGGTTTCTTTGGTTTGGGATTTCTGTTTGAGAGGGTAGAGCCAGGTATATCTGCTGAAGTGATCTACAAATATTATATAGTATTTGAATCCATCAATGGAAAGTTGAGGGGAGGTCCAGACATCTGAAAAAATGTATTCGAGAGGGCGAGATGATGAGATAGTTGAAACAGCAAAGGGCAATTTATGACTCTTATTGCAGAAACAGGAATCACAAGGAGAATATAATTGTTTTCGAGATAAAGGAAGGGCATTTTTCAGAACAACATGTTTTAGAATGGGAAGAGATGGGTGACCAAGGCGGGAATGCCATTCGGAGAGGGTTGATTTGAGGCTGGAGAAAGCAACAACAGGAGAGGTGTTTGGTGAGGTGATAGGCCACTCATAGACCCCTGCTTTGGTGTTTCCTGTCAGCAGACACGTTCCCGACTGTAGATCCTTCACCTGAAACATATCGGGAAAGAATTCAACCGAGACATGATTAGTTTTGCAGAGTTTATGGACTGATACTAGATTCTGACGGATTGCTGGAACACAGAGAACATTATCCAAGGTGATATTTCGTGTTGGGAGGGAAATTGCGAGGGAGCCCTTATGAGAAATACGCAAACCTGACCCATCACCGATGATCACATCATCGGCTCCTTGGTATGGACTGTGGAGAGCAAGATTCTGTAAGTCAGAGGTGATGTGATGCGAGGCACCACTGTCGAGCAGCCATGGAGAGGTGTCATAAGCGTTGGGCTGCATCACATTGTAGGCTGTGTGCCATGGCTTGGGAGACTGTGTCTGATTAGCAGAGTCTCCAGAATTTCTGTCAAGTTTCTTTCCAGCAGAGATGAGACGGTATTCAGGGCAATATTTGGCACTATGTCCTTGAATACCACAAGCCTGGCAGCGCCCTTTGTAGTTTCCTGTTGACGCGTTTGATTTCCAGTGTGAAGCTTGTTGCTTGTAGGTGTTACCAGGGCGTCTCGGTTTGTAGTTGGTGTTATTGGCAGTAACAGGAAACAGTGGCTGAACAATCTGCGATGTTGCCTGGAGTTTGGCCTCATGATTGATTAACTTTTCATGTAGTTCTTCCAGCGAGATGGTTGTATCTCTGGCATTGACAACATCTATGACAGATTTGTACTCTTCAGGTAAACCATCAAATATCGCTTCGAGGATGTCTTCTTGATCCATTGGTTTGTTGAGAAGGGCTAGTTCCTCTGTTTTTGCCGAGATGAATCTGAGATATTCATCTATGGTCTGTGTTCCCTTGGTGCTGCGTTTCACTTGCTCCCGAAGCTGCAGCAGATGTCCTCTGGTTGCCTTGCCGTATGTATTGGCAAGGCTGTTCCAAGCCTCTTTGACAGAGGCGGATCGAGCAATCAAAGGTTGGAGACTCACCGATAACGTGCCCAATAACGCACTGAAGATGAGTCTGTCTTGTTGTTTCCAGGGCTGGAAGGCAGGATTTTCCCTGAAAACTCCATCAATGGTGAGACGAGGAGAAGGCACCGGCGAGTCGTCTGTGATGAACGCCTCCAGATTGTGTCCCTCAAGGAGTGCTTTGACTTGAACACTCCAGGTGAAATAATTGCTTGCCGTCAATTTGGTGATATTCGTCATGTTGCAGGAAATGAGGGTTCTCTGTGGGTTTCTCGTGTCAAAAGTTGGGACAGTTTCAGTATTTTGAGTGTTTGCTTCTGACATGGTTGCAGGATTGTATGAAGGTCAGAGAGGAATAGGAGAGGATCGAGTTGTGGTTACACTCGTCGCTCTGATACCATATGAACACACTATGAGATGTGTATATGCGGCCTTAACCTTCATGTCATTGTATTATCATATATATACAGATCAAGAAGAGGAGATGATACAGAGGCTGACCTAGCTTCTAAGGAAAGAAGAGAAATGGTAAATATACAATTACATACATAATTATAGGAGAATATATATCTTTCCTTATAGTATGTATGTATGCATGTTTGTTTGTTTATATGTATCCAACATTTGGTGACCCAATGGTTGAGAAGTGACAAAATCATTCTTAAAGTCCTGGGATCGATTCCATTTATGGGGAGTGATGTAATTTCTAGACCATAATGGTTCATATACAAAGGCTGATACCGATTCCGAATTCAGGGTGCACGTAATCGGGGCGAAAGCCCGGAGAACTATCCTGGTTATAAAATATATATATATATATATATATATGTAAATGCTTTGGCAAGAATATCCCTTGCAAATTTTGTGCAGATGAACCTAACTCTCTTTTATTATATAGTTTTAGTTGCAAATTGCTCTCTTTTTTTTTTTACTAGATTCGTTAGAATTTCAAATTCGAATTTATTCCAAGAAAAAAGTCTTAGCTTCAAAACTTTTTTTATGATAGATATAGCTCTAGGTTTGTCTTGATTTACATTATCACTTATGGGTTCAATATATTAAGTATTTTATTCATATTTTATTATAAGGATCCAAGTTGAAATTAATCAATGCTAAACTATACCTTACTATACAAAGATAATATTTTTAAAAACTTTATTTAATTTATTTTGGTCGGTTTGATAAGTTAACCCGACCAAAACCGAGTTAACCGGCAAGTTTGTGGAACTTAATGCCATAATTATTGACCAAAGTTCGTTCACGTAGAAATTCTGCATCGATTTTTTTAATGATGATTATTTTATTCAATAATATATATTTTTTTCTCATCTTATTTTATCATTTAATTTTTCCTGATTCTTTTTTTTTATTTATATTGAAGAATAAATTAAGGTAAATTTGCAAAAGGCCATTAAATAAAAAAATACCCACTTGATTTTAATTTCCCTTTTGACTTTTTAATCCACTTGTTGACTCCAATGATTGCTTTATTATAATGAGTTGGGTTTCACGAAAAAAGAGAATACTACATTAATTTTAACGAAAAATATGCACCAAATTTCGAAAAGAATTACTGCAAAGAGACGAAATTAGCTTATCTTATTTCTTTTCCTTTTTTTTATGTTATCGTTTTTTATTACCATAAAATTGATACTCTTAAAAATCACTATTTTATCTCTAATTATCTAATTTTAATCATTTCTTAAAGCATATTACATCTCATGATTATATCACAAAAAATCAAGTAAACTATATTTAAAAAAATTCATAAAAATTGTAATTGATCGGACTATCCATTCCATCACAGATTTTTTTCCTCACATATCATCTTCACACTCACAACATATTTATACTCAAAATCAGATCTTATAAATTTGCTCAAACCACTATATACATCTAATGATAATATGATAAATTATGTTCGGGACGTTAAAATTATTTATATATATTACCATGGTTGTGCCTTTATTTAACTTAAAGTGTAACATGATTTGACTTAGAAACCATTTATAGCATATTATTAATTAAAATTTATTAAAATATTTACATGACGTCTTTAAATTAGAGAATAAGTTTGGATTTTATATCTCATTATAAAAAAAAATAATCAATTAACATCGTTAAATTTTGTTACCAGGATTTATAATACAATCTAACGTGTATGAATATTTAAATAAAATGTACAAATCAAGGAAATGGAGAATTAAATTTTCGTTCATGAAGAAAAACAAGTATTTTGTAAATCATGTTTATTATATCAAATACCATGCGCGACAAAGAAATACTATTTATTTATTTATTTCACTATTTTGATTAATTTTTAACATTTATTTTACAAAAGCTGGTCTTTATTTCTTTATTACTAATTATTTTTTGGCATCTATATAAACGCCGTTAGGGCGGTTCATGCCCTTTTCCTCTGTGTTTCCTCTTCCGGTCTCCGATCGATGAATTTCTGATCTGGGTTTGATTATTTTTGCACAATTTCAGAGCTTTCTAGCGAATTCTGATCTGGGTTTTCGATTTTTTCGTTCAATTGATATAATGGAGAACGAGCTGTTTATGAACACCGGACTTCCTTCTCCGGCGCCGGAGATGGCGATGCATTTTGAACCGCCATCGTCTTCGTCAGCGGTGATGAACTGGCCCTCAATGTCTTCTTCAATGGACATCCAACAACCGGACCGGCATCTCGGTCGGAATCCGACACAGGATTGCTTCTTCTGGGAGAAGTCAACGGAACAGAGCATCTTCGACTCTGCTCTGAGCTCACTCGTCTCGTCCCCGACGGCGTCGAGTTCGAACTTTTCCGGCGGAGGAGACAGCTTCATCATCAGAGAGCTCATCGGGAAGCTCGGGAACATCGGTAACAGCTCCGGCGAGATCTACGGGACTCCGGCGAGCAACAATGGATCGTGTTATGCCACTCCGATGAGCTCCCCACCTCCGCCGCCGAGGCGGAGTTCTCCGATAATGGTGGCCAACACCACGCCGTTGGCGGAATTCTCCGGAGACCCTGGATTCGCGGAGAGGGCGGCGAGATTCTCGTGCTTCGGCAGCCGGAGTTTCAACGGCCGAACCACCTCAGAGGCTGA